ATGCCTCGACCACTGACTCACGATGATGTTCTAACCTTGTTCTATGGAACACCAATAAATAAAAAATGTATTCCATTAGTTATGGCATAAATCTCCTAAAATAATTCAACAAACTTGTTATAATTTCTACTGCATACACACGAGAAGCTCTAAAAGAGCTGAAGAAAAGTTCATTAGCATCAGCAGAATCTGAAGTCGATTGTTTCTCATTGGATAGTTGGCAGTGTTTTTTTGTAGGCGTTAGGGTGACGGGAGATAATGCAGATTGTGCTCCGGACCCCGCCGTGTCTTCAGGGTGATGTGCGCAGGGCGCGGTTTACGAGCGTCTTGGTGTTTTTATGACATTATTTCGCCGCACTTACTACAATAACTTCATTAGAACGACTAAACTGGGATCATCCCACCGCCCAACTGCATTCTTTTTACATCTATTCCAGCGGTCACGGGTTAGCAGACATGAATACAAACTGGAAAATTTGATTTTAGGCATAATTTGTTTCCCTCTTCAGAGCTAAGGTGCCTAACGTGAAAGCAGAGAACGCGTTCTCAATTTTTTGAGGAAGAATCAAATGTGAAAATGAATGATTTTTGATGACTAATATATACGAATTAGACTCCTGGTATTTGAATTGTAACTTAGGATCATTGTTTGTGAGCTGATTATGGGATCAGATGCTCTATCTTAGACCATGCGGCCTCAGTTCGTTGTTAGAAGGAAATAAGAATGCGCACTGCCAGTGCAGTCTCTTTGAATATTATATATTAGTGGTTGAAAAAAATCTGAGTTGATATTTTCGCCGAGTGTTGGAACGACCGCGTAAGAATCCCTTGTGTTTATGAAAGTGCAACGAACTTCAACGGGGCACATCCACAACGCGGCTGACACTATAGCACTAGGCAACTGGCACTATAGGCAGCTGACACTAGACAGCTGGCGTAAGTCATCTGACGCTAGGCAGCTGGCACTAGGCATCTGGCTCTAGGTAGCTGACACTATGGGCAGCTGGCTCTAGGAATCTGGCACTATAGACAGCTGGAACTAGGCAGCTGGCACGATCGAGTGCAAGTAGTATTTACTGTGCACGTCGAGCTTGCGGTCGAAGTAGTGACGTTAATACCCATTCACATGAATAGATAATTAATTAAATAAAAAAAATATTATATTGTAATCGATAAGAACCATTGAAAGTATTCATTATCTTTTGTTAATTATAACACTGTGCAACAAAATTTTTGCTACTCGTATGAAATTACCTGTATCTGATGTGTTTTTTACGCTGATTCCATGTATGCCCTTGAAATTTCTCTAGCACGTCAGGTTTTCGAGTAGTGTTTGTGAAAATATTTTATGCATATAACTTCAGGGTCAGCCTCCAAAAGTGTAAGTACATTCAAAATAAATATTGCCTGGTAAAAGTGTGTTGTGTATTGGTGGTTTCAAATGACTTTTATTGTATAATAATGGGTGGGATTATATTATTGTTAGTGTTTGTACCATTGCTATTGAATTTTCTGAAACTTTTTCACAATTTCATTAAAGAAAAGTTTGGTCGTGATAAATCTAGGATATTAATTAACTAAGCGCTAATTTGATTTTTTAATTTCAACTGAGCAGTAATTGTTTGAAATGAATCGTCGAAATTGTAACAACAACCCTGACAATTTCTGTTACATTTGTGGCAAATTCACCCCAAAAGATCAGAGAAAAAATCTGGCCTCCAAGGTGAAGATAGCATACAGGCACTATTTTCGCTGTCAAATTGGGGACCAGGATAAAAATTGGGCACCTCATATCTGCTGTTCTAACTGCTATTTCATGTTAACACAATGATTAAGCTCAAAAAGAAAGAGTATGCCATTTGCTGTTCCAATGATCTGGATTTTTCCATTGCTTTTTCCCCCTTGGGAAATGCTTTTTTTTCCCACTTGGATTTTTTCCCTGGAAACCTTGGGGATATAAGTGATGAGCATGGTGAGTGTTTTCACCAAGATATTGCGCTTTTGGAAAGTCAGCATAAAGGTCGCTTTAATTAAAATATTATAGGAGACTATTGTTGGTTGCTAAAAAGGGTGGAAGAATCTACTCACCGTCGCAAATCAAGAGGGAAAAAGCATTTGTAACATAAATATCAGAGCAATTAGGTAAGAATTCTTTTAAAACAGTTTTGATTACCATTTTTTTATATTTTGATTACATAAATAGGATGTTAGAAATGTATAATCCAATATTATTTAATCATGTTCAGTTTACCAAATGTTGTATTTTTATGAATTTCATCAAAGTATTTTTTGAATACCTCGAAAACTATACGTGCTAGAGTACTTCTGTTTGCAGATTTGAAATCGCGACCTCGATTCCTTTAGAGAAAAGTATTTTGGCTTGAGTTATGAAAAAAATATTTTTTTTTGTTGCACAGTGTAATCAATCGTCAGGCAACATTTTCCGTAGTTAGCCTGCACGTAGCCCCACTATCAATGCCACCCTCATTTCAGCCTCCCCTTTTTGACCTCCACCTCCCCAGGCGGCCTGGTTAGACCTGCATAGGCTTCACTTGCTGCACCAATCAGAACTTTCCATAATTAATAATCAAGTGCGGCTGCATTCTTTCCCTCAGCGGCCCCTGAATAATCGAACTCCGTCTAAGTGGCTCGCTGTAGCCTGAGTGCAGAAGCTAACTTAAAAAAGACTTCATGGCTCGACGTCTTTATGTTCGAAGAAGGCAAATTATCCTAACATCTCAATCACGGTAGGATATGCACCTAAATCTCAGTCGAGCTAGCTTTGTTTTTTTACAGTTAATTTTGAGACGTAAAATGCTTGCTTGCGTTTGAAATTCTTGTCAAATTGTCGTTAAATGATCTTGGAAATTGGCATCGTGACCACGAGAGTCATGTTTGCGTCTAAACTATGACAGTCGCTGCAAATGCCAACTTAGATAAGCGAGTGTTAATTTACTTAATCGTACGGATCAGAATTTCCTATCAATCACCTATTATCAACTGCGTGCCATACTCCTACTATGTTTTGCAGGTATCACTCGTATGTACATTCGTGGCATCTCCTACTGATGACAAACTCAGCTAGTTGCAAAACCAAACGATTCTATGGATAGCAGGTTGAGATATATAAATGTAATCGTAACATTTAATTTCAACAGTCCATTGGTGGAATTTGAAATGAAGAGTGTTTCGCAAAGTTTAAAATCGTATGTTAACTCGAAATCTGATTACAATTGGCATGCGTTAGTTGCCGAAACGACCGACTTCATTTCAACATATGCCACATACTGGTTCTCGCTAATGATATTCTGTACAATACAGAACATGCGACGAGAGCCGTGATCGCATGTTTGTCAACATGTGCCGCATGTTGGTCCTCCCGATGTCAATGTTTGCACATGCGCTGGCTAGCTCTACGTGACAACATGTTTGTCAACATGTGCCGCATGTTGGTCTTCACGTCGTCATTGTTTGCACATGTCCCGCTGACGTGACCGCATGTTTGACAACATCACTACATCTACAACGTCGCGAGATCTCAGAGCATCACTTTAGAACCGATGCCAATGTTTGCGCATATCCCGCGGACGTGACCGCATGTTTGACAACATCACTACATCTACTACGTCGCGAGATCTCAGAGCATCACTTCAGAAGCCAGGATTTTTGCGGAAGTCGCTTTGAAGGCGCCGTATGCGCCGAAACGAGGCCGGCTCGATCGAAGGGCGCCGTCGCTCTTATTGCATTACTGAGGACAAGAATGTCGTTTGAGGAGCTTGATAAGTCGCTTATGAGATGCCGCTACATGACCGACCTACGATACACACCGAATGCTGATCGTCGTGGGTGCCTCCTGTGATGGTAGTTATCACTCAGGTTAGTCAGCCTTAGATGTCACCAACGCGTTCAGCTTGTGATGACCTTACATATTGTTCACAGTTTTTTTATTATACGTAGAAACGTACTTAACTACCTGAATTCTGTAGAACTAATGTAATTTTTATGTCTTCTTGCATTTCTGGGTAATGAAATGAGACGTGACGCATATGGGCTCGAAGTATACGAGCTGTAGCCAAGCTTGACAAAAGATTAGTCCGATTTGTTTTCAAGTGTTTATAATGATGTCTTTATTGTAGCATTTATCCCTCTAAAATTGATCGAAGTTAATGTTAGAAAAACTATGAAGCGCCCAACGTACTGGATGATGAATTTCCGTGAAAATACTGTTGCTGAAGACTCGGAAATTATGTGAAGAATGAAGTATGCAGTAATAATTGATTTTGCTGTATGAAATTCGTGTTAAATCGTGTTAGCAAATGAAAAAAACTTAGAATGGTGTGAGTGCAATTTAAATAAACAATAAATTTTTTATTCAATTTCTGCGGGCCTCAAATTTGGTTCAATTCCTCTGTATTTACGAAAAAAAAAATATTATTTAGTCGTCGACGGAAATGGTCTCGTACAATTTGTTAATAATTAGCTGCGTGCAGGGACGTTAAAAGTTAATATACCAAGTTACTATAGTTACTGTAAAAGTTACTATACGTGCAAGTTACTAAAGTTACTATAAAAGTTACTATATACCTTCCAGTTGCTATAGTTAGTGCAAAAGTTACAATACGTGCAAGTTACTGTAAGTTACTATAAAAGTTACTGTACGTGCAAGTTTCTATAGTTACTATAAAAGTTACTGTACGTGCAAGTTACTATAGTTACTATAAAAGTTACTTTACATTCAAGTTACTCACAAGTCACAATACATACGAGAGAAATAATTGATCAATGGTGATTGGTGGGAGCTCGCCGATGAGAATAAGCTTGCACGGTTAGGTAATTAAGGAGTTCGCTGTTCCCGAGGATGTCTCAGCAATGTGTGCTATATGAACTTATTACACACAGGCCCTAAACTGTCAACATCGGATCACAGCACTTGCATTTATCGAATACATTGTGTTTATCTTTTGACGACGTTACCTATCAATTTCTGAACAGGGATTTACCTCAGTGTCTTGAATCTTGAGCCAGATGTGACCGGGGGAAACAGTTTCTTGCAAAGCTTCTTGATATTTGATTGCGTATCGATCAGACTCAGGAGGCAAAGGGTGCTCAACTGCTCATGTTAGGTATTCGTCAGTGCGTCCACCTGGAGAACGGGTTTTGCACAAATTGGTCTAAACAATGAGGGGTTCGGCAGTATTGAACCTCCTTGCAAGGAGTCATCAAGATTCGGAGTGACGGAACAACACCGACTTGGTTCTCGCCATCCGCTTCTGCAACGCAGTTCTCACGTGGCAGCAATAATGCTTCAAAGTGTGCATTCTGTAATTTAACCTCTTTTAAATAACGTCTTCAATTCATTGTTTGTTTTCACGTGAATTTTCAGACGAATTTAAGTTAGTTAGATGTAGTTTGACGCCTGCTGGTTTCCCCTGCCACCTCGCAGGACCTGAGCAGGTCGAGGCTTCAGAAATCGAGTTGGCAAAGCTGGGGCGCAGCGGCAACGTCTTGAGGACCTCGCGGGGCTTGTTAGTGCAGCCAAGCTTGTCATCCCTACTCCTCTCATCCCCACTCCTCTCATCCCTACTCCTCTCATCCCTACTCTTCTCATCCCCACTCCTTCCATCCCTACTCCTCTCATCCCCACCCATCCCATCCCTACTCCTCCATGCCAACCCTTTTCATACCATATGCATATGCCCGCTAACTATAAATTCTGCACCATGTATACTAATATATCTACTGTACCTCTGAACATCCACCATCCTAATCATTCTCTACATTTTCAGCTTATACCTCCTCCCACACATCACCAATTATTTTTCTCCGTCCACTAATAATCAACTCTATTTCCTCGGGTTTAACCTCATAAACTTCTTATTCATTCTTCTGCGGCTGTTATATCTACCTATTACTACGTTCAATTTTCACTTGCGAATTCTCATTAGTTCCAAATTTCCTCCTTCCATGTTACTCATCTCTTCCCTCTTCTCAAACACGTTTTATTTCGTAAAAATTGGGTAGCTCTTCTTACGTTTAATTATCCCTCTTGTTGCTCTTGCTTCCTTCTTCCCAACTACCAAAAGGGGTGAGGTGCAAGGGTTGCAGCAATCCCACTACCTGCGGGATTGCTGAAATTTGCTTCACCCCCAAACGGGGTGAAGTGCAGCAACCCTGCTTGCTGCAGCCGCTGCAGGTGGCATGCACCGCTGGTCAATATTTACGTCCAATTACAAAATTATTAATGAAGACGTCATGATAATTAGTTGCCTGCATGGTGAATCGCATTAGTAATTGGTTGCATTCAAACTAGTATTCAATAGTTTTCATTTTGATACATTTTGTTATTAAAGCATTCATGTATCAAATCAGCATGAATATTACCAAATAGTATTGATGATAATCGTTAAATGAACTATTATCAATTAAAAGAGAATAAAGATAGGCAGTTTGAAGTGCTATAGCAACAACAGGTATAATTATGTGTACAGGAGGAAAATTTTTAAGTCAACAGTTCTCTAACTGCGCCCGCAGCATCTGTTCTAATTTTGCTATAATCAGCCTTACTAAAAATTCAAGAACTGAATTCAAGAATTAAAGAAGCAAAAACTACAAACAATGAAATTGTGGCTCGTATTCCTTAACTAGAACCCAAAAATGTTTCAGGAAATTAATATAAAGTCTTTCTAGGTATAAATATGTTACTCTTACTTTGTAATCATCTGTATGCCAATATGTTTATAGTGTATTTAAGCGGGCGATATTTGCAGACGTGAAGCATGTTGGTACTTTTTTGCTTCAAGTTGATTTTATTCAAAAAAGCTAATCTCGCATGTCAGCTAGACGCCGGCCACGAAGCTCGCTCCATTTCATGTCATGTCCGGGCCGCCAGCAGCTTTTTTCAGTATTTTTTATGCTTCTGCAAGTGTGTTTGCTAAGTAGCTTAATGGAAGACCGGACTGCAACATCGCATTGCCCTCGCCACCAAATAACAATGGCCGGAAAATTGTGAGCTCTCATTAATATAATGCAAACACGCCAATGACAGGTTGAAGAAACGGTTCTTCGCGGTCAAGTGTCGACAAAAAAGAGCTTGCGTGGCGCTGCGTGGCGTGCGTGAAGTGAAAGCGTTTGTGCGCATCGGGCTGTGCAAACAATGCCCTCGAACACCAGAGTTTTTGTGCGTTACGCTAGAGGAGCGAAGGCTTGATTACCCGATCAGCCAATGTCGATTGCTAATGATATGAAGTCAGACTAAATATAGTAAAGTAAGTGGAGATGTCAGTGAAAAGTGGCATGGAGTTCTGTAGTTGAATTATTAGAACGTTTTCGTGATGGAGGTCTAACAATCGCTCGATATAGCAGTTAATGCGTAGTGTTAATCATATAAAACTACGTACGAAATATTAAACAAATGAGAAAGCGAACAAAGGAATATCCCTAGAATGAAATTTTTGCGCCTACGTGTTGATAAGAGTCAATCCGCTGTTCGATATTTTAGGTCCACTACCTGAAAAATATGTGCGATGACTTAGAGTAGCTATCCCGTTACGAAAAATTGATTGACCATGAAAGCAGAATGTTATTATTTTTCAGCGTGGAAAGTTGTGTGAAAATCATACACACATATGATTGTATTTTGTGGCCGCAAACTGACGAAGAGTTTTTAAAATCAATCAACGATATTCCATAGCACTGATTGAAAGATTATTTTGCGACTTGAATTTATACAGCTATATAACGCGTGAAAGTTGTATTCAACGAGTCAATGCCATGGCATGGTGCAAGTTGCAATATACTGCCTAATTGAAGTAGAAGTTTTGTTACGCTATTAGCTATCCATGAGCTGTCTAAGACCAGCCTGACGTCCAGGTTCACTCATTAACGAATGCTGGGAGCGTAATTAACTTCTGGTGTTCCGTAATTGCCTCGTGCAACCCGTGTTGAAATTTGGACACATTCTCCAGTTTCCAGGAGCGGCCAGAGTTGGGAGAAGCTCTGGCGTGTCGTACCTGCCAACATCTGTCAACGAGTTGACGAAGGGTTCAGTCGTGCGCCTCCTGCCACTCCCGACTTCAGACTTCAACATTTCAAGGCCTTCAGAGGTAGCTTGGACTGGAGACTACCCGAAATAAGAAGAACTTTAGGCTGCCGGAGTGTAAAAATTGGAACTGAGGGATGTAGCTTTGAAATAAACTTCCACACTAGATCGAAATTCACGTCGTTTTTTCAGGGTGTAGGAGTGACACCATTGTGGAGGAATGGCAAACTAACAAATTTAGCTAGGACAAACAACTTCATGAAATCAAGAACTCTACAGGCCGGAGGTTGTACTAGAGCCAGATTTTATGGCTAAGTCTAGCTTGCCTACAAGTGTTATAAACTGACTGATGCACATTTGACGAAGAAAATTATGAAGTATAGAAATCCTGGCTGACAGGAGAAAAATTGGACAAGGGTCTTCCAGAAATAACCTCAAGTGTACGAGTGGTTAACTAACTTGAACTTCTGTCCCGAGGAGCATGCTTGGAAGGAGCTTGCACTTGGAAGTAGAAATTCCTTAAATCGAAGAAAAACTACGTTTCGGGAAATGGTTCCCTCTATTTTCCATTTGCAAAATTCGATCAAACCTAGACTAAATTCAGCACATGCTTTAAATCGCGTACGTTCTAGAGAACTAGGCGATTAGTCTTGCAGTGTCACTGTAAGAATAGCAGGATGAACACAAGATGTAGGAACAAAGAGACAGTAAAGCATATGGGCTTGAAGTCTGAAAACTGGGCTGGCTGGAAATTAATGATACTGTGCGTTTTTTGCCAGGAAAAGTTAATTATGTAAATTTTTCAATTGCAAAAATTTTGGAGACTCAAAATGACACAGACTGGTGCTACTATTAAGTTAGCATCAGCTCATCAATCCAAGAATTCAGCCATAGAAAAGTCATAGTCGTTGAGTTATAGCATGACTTATATTCACAGTATGAGTCACGGTCATTATAGCAATGTATGAATCCTGGTAGTCAAGTCGTAGTATGAGTAATGTTACAGTCACGTGCAAAGTTATCCCAACGCAAGTAAAGCGTATAGGGAAGCGTCCTGCACACTGAAGATATCGCTCACTTAAGAAGAGCATCTGGCCTAGTCTCAGGATGAGCTAGGGTTTGCGCGAGGGTCACTCACGTAATGAGGGTTGACAGGCCTGACCCTCACTCTGTCCCCCTCATTAGAGGCGTTAATTGGCGCTCTCCAGTCCCTCATCTCACGCTTCCTCCTTCTACCAAGTCTTTGCTTTTAACCTCATTTCTTTTTGCCAAGTAGAGACTTGATTTTTCTCCTTAACATTTTTCTTTAACATGAGGCATGCTATTTTTCGGAGATGTACTTTAATACTCAAAAAGATGCACTTAAATATTTGAAGAGATGTACTTCACTACTTAAAGAGATGTACTTGAGTCAGATACACTTTCTTTCAGCTGTTTTCCATACTCATTCTGACATTAATTTCCTCTTGCACGCGTCGCTTAGATGTCGCATACGCGGCAATAGAAACGGTAATCCACTTGAGCAAAAAATATCAATAACATCAGAAGGCACTTGTGAAGATTTAGAAGACATTCGCTCTGCTCACGATTTAAACTATAACGTAGCGACAGCACCAGCGTAATGCCGTAGGAATGGTTCGTTAGCTCTCACGGTTAATTAAGTCTTCAGTTTCTAAATTTTCGGGTGAGATCTGAACCCATTCATCTGTACCCGAGAAGGATTGAATTACTCGTACGAAAAATAAAAGAAAAATGAAAAAAACATTTAAACGTCTTTTACTATCGAATAGGAAGTAAGCGTCCTGTTTTAAGGACTTCTTCCAATATACGAGGGCTCTACCACAACACCAACAGATCACCTGTGCCCCGAACTAGAGTTTTTGATCACACCTCGAAGCTCCACAGCAAGAGATCTGTGCTTGCAATGAAATCCTCCTCTCCCATCCTCCCCTCCCATCCTCCTCTCCCTTTCCTCCCCTCCTCCCCTCCTTCTCTCTGTCCTCCGCTCTCTGTCCTCCACTCTCTGTCCTTCACTGTCTGTCCTCCACTCTCTGTCCTCCGCTCTCTGTCCTCTGAGACCTCTGACTGAGATACGATTTTCAAAAAGTTTCTTCACATTTAAGTTTCTCTAAAAATAAAAAATCTCTCGGCGTCTGGTTACTGTTAAACGAGCCTTGTAACTAATTGCTAATTACTAATAAATTTCATCGTCACGGAATTGTAACTAAAATCAATTGTCGAGGCAATGCCAGGGAAAGCAATATCTTTTTTAATGCGGAGCATTTCAACAACATGGCTGACGCTAGGCCTACAACTCGAGTCACTGCAACGACATAGATTAAAGCAAGAGGCCTAAGCAGGAACAGGCCTAAGACATTCCTCGCTAAGCAAATTACGAGAGCTAAGAGATCATGGAACGCATCTTTGGCGAGACAGATAGAGCTTGCATTAACTCTGCTCGCGCAGCTAATCCAAGCGACTGCTTCTATGTTATTCGTACGGTAAAAAACACCCCTGCTATTTAAACTGTCCTGGAGTTTTCCGGTCTCCATTACGCGTTTGAAGACACTACTGAAAACACTAGGAATTTTTAATTACGAAGGGGAAAAG